AACCAGTCAGGAAGTCTACATCTCTACATCTCCCTACGTGGCTTAAACGTGCTGTTGTAGATTTCGTTCACTGATGAAGTCATGTTTTTGTTTGCACACTACCGCTGGCTCTTGTCCAACCTGATCCATCCTACGTTAGCTAACACTACCTGTCGAAGAGGAAGGCGATGGCTAGGGATGCATGCGTAACACATGTCCTAACCATCTCAATCAGTATAACTTCATAACCTCATCTAGTGATTTCCCCTGCTTACCTAACACTCGACCGATGCTTAACCTTAATATTGCTCACCTTATTATACCACCACCTGACACGGGAGATAGAACGCAGTCACCTATGATCAAAGACAGCTAATCTTTTCATGTCTTCCACTCTCAATGGCCAGGTCTCACACCTAGCCTTAAAGGACGACGGAGTGGACGGCTGAGCAGTACACCCGCCCTTTGGTCGATAGCCGGATATCACGTCTACGCCAGAGGCGGCGTAAGTTGGTAGGAAATGCCAAACGAGCCTTCAGTATCTGTGCTCAGATTTAGTCAGCGATCAACTCTCTGCAACTTCCCAAATAAGTGAAGTGGTCAACGCGATCTACTACTTTTCACCCTATTTCTAAGCCAAGAGTCAATGTAGTCCAGTCCAGTCCTGTAGCATCATCTTATATTTGGCGGAAGCAAGTCGCATGCCAAACATTCGAAATTGAAACTCAAGGTGTTCAGAAGACTGCATTTTGTCAGCGTCTTCACCTAAAAGGACTACATCATCTGCATATTCTAAGTCAACGAGATTATTCGCTGACAGTAACAAGTCAACCCCTGAGTCTCTGAATTGAGTTAGGGTTAAGTTCATTAGTACATCTATGATGAAACTGAATATAAATGGGGACAAGGGAAGTCTCTAACGGACACCGCTAGTTGGTACCACTTCAGATGACAACTCTCCGTAGGCTCTTACCTGGCTCTATGAGTTCGAGTAGAGTGTCTAGATTAGTGCAATATATTATCTAAGCATTCCCTTCACAGCTAAACATAGCCATAGTACCTCTCGGTCAACAGAATCGAATGCCGCCTTAAAATCAAGAAATATAACGATTTTTGGACACCGGTAAGCATGTCTATATTCCAGAATCAATAATCCTCTTCCTGGCCCAAAGCCTGCCTAGTCCTCTCGTGTATGTTCTTCCCGAGTACCACTTATTCTACTCACTGACAGTATAAACCCAGGATCTTCCAGTTTTAAGTCAAGCTCGTAGACCATCCAGCTATCGGGACCTGACTCATTGGCCACCGAATGGATTCTGACTTCTACCGATTCGTAGTTTTAGTGTGACCACCAATCAATGTCATTGGTTAGTGTTTGCCCTCACTGTCGACCGGAGAGACCCCACTAGAACTCCAGGCAACTTCGTCATCTAACTGGTCACCAGCGAGTTGGTTGAGATTGTATTAGTTTCATATTCGATCATGGATTGATATGAGTTAGTTAGATTTTTATCTGTATCACCTATATCCAGTCGGTTGTCCAGTGATGGAATGTTTGCCCACTAGTCATGTTGAAAGTTAACACTAGAATCTCATCCAACTCACCCCCTTTAAATATGGTTTAATTCACTGGCCGGAAAATAAAGCTTCATTAATCGTGAATGTACACTGCCACTCTGCTGGTTCGTTAGCAGAATGCCTAAACGCTACGCAGGCTGTTTGCGTTCTATTCCTGGAAAGTGTGAATTCCTGGTATTAATCTCATTGTGTTAATCCCACTGGCAATTTACACAGTTCATGCTGAGCTTTAACAAAACATTTTCCTTTAGAAACAGAAAATATTCCCTTCACAGTATGTGATCCTCTAGATAATATAAATGGCGATCAAGAAAACAAGAATAAATGCATTACGCTACATACTACTGATTGAATGAGTAGTATATAGTATCACACTTCTAAGCATTCAGAAGGCTTGTTTATCTTCAAAGACTGTCTACTCAGCATATATTTACAATCGGGTGGCATATTATTATCATTATTGTTTCCTTTAATTCCTAGAGGAACATAGGGCTTCAGCCACGCGTCTCCATTGCGTTCGGTTCTCTGCTAGAGTCTTCATCTGGCTCCAAGTCTGCCCACATGCTTTCATCTCCTCTTCACATGACCTCCTCCAAGTCACCCTTGCACTGACGACCAACTCGCCGCTTCCCTTTCGGCCGGGTTCCACTCGAGCAATGGCTTGTGTAGTGATGTCACTTGATGGTTTCCTCAGAGTATGGCCAATCCATCTCCATTTCTTCCTGCCTATTTGTTTCACAATCGGTTCCTGCTGCGTTAGTTCGCTCCCAGAAATCCCTGTTGCTGATATTTTCTAGCCATTTGATCTTGAGTATTGACCGAAGACAGCTGTTAATGAAGGTCTGTAGTTGGTTTGAGATGCTCTTTATGACGCGCAGTGCAAGTCTCTGATCCGTATAGTAGCACTGACTGACTTCCCATTGGAGTTGAAAATCCGGATCTTATTTTTCATGCTGAGTAGTGCTGTTGACCTCCACACAGACTTGAGAGTAGTGAAAGCTTGTCTTGCTTTCCCGATTCTTGCTTTGATATATTCATCAGTTCCACTCTCCTGTAGTTGAAACGATGCTTCCCAGGTGGGCTAGGTAAAGGAGGTTGGTTCTTCCAGATTTTTCCCATTTATGCTGATTGTTTTCTGTTGTTTTTGTTTTTGTTGCGGTTGGCCAGGAATCTTCATCACCTCTGTTTTCTCTATGTTCACCTGAAGTCCTATCTTTGATGCATATGTAAGACGGAAATTTTCATGCCACTGTGAGACGACTAAAACTTAGTGCCTCTCACTCATTATTCATTAATGAGAGTTGGTCATCATCTGTGTAAATTAAATGTTGACTAGTAGATTACCATAAGAATTAAAACTCATTAAGGCATTTAGAATCGATCGAGTAATTTCACCAAATAGGTGGTTCACTGGCTCATTCAATAACTGTCTGACGTTGAAGCGATAGATACTAATGTTGAGTGTCATGAAACCTAAACTTGTGTAAGTCAACGTAAATCGATGTTTTGTTTCTCTCCTTGTAGGATGACACTCTGGAGTTCACTAACCGGAGGAGGAGGAGATACAGTAACTGCAAGGACTGAACCTCAACGAAGAAAATAAAGACTGTAACACTGTAAGAATTTATCCTAGGGCGTTTACAAATTTGATTTGGGTGGAATAAATGTTCTCTGTGCAGATAGTGTTCTGCTTTCTTTACCTGTATGCCTGTTGCTCTGTCAGTTACAAATTGATGTTGTAGGTTATTCGGCCGACACGAGCTCCCTGCAGTATGTTTCGCACACAAAGCCAGCACAGTTTCTTCAATAACAGAACACAGTCTCCCTGTGAGAGGACCACCGATCCTCAACATCAGTAGTGACTATGAACTTTGGAAGTTCCGTATGTAATCCATCCCCTGCTGTTTTACCCAATAAGATCAGTGTACTCAGATGACATTGGCACTGACCGATGAGGCCTTTTGCCGCTCTATCCCAATCAACACCCTCAGTGACAACCGCTGCATATTAGACGAATGTTTCGGAGTAGTCTGAAAGTCGTCTGCCTATCTTCATTCCTTCTTAAACCACAACCTAACATGGAAGCTGCGGATTACCTACACCACCTGAGACAAACAGCATTCTATGCTTTCCCTACACTTTCTCACGGCAATGGTGATGAATTCATTTGCATACGCTTTGGTCAGGGCATTTTATCACATGACCTGAAAAACCATTTGTTGTGCACCCCACTGAGCTCTATACTGGAGGCCCCTGAAGTGGTTGCACGGTTTAAGAGTGTCAACTACGTTGCTTAGCCAACTATCAGCTGGTTGTACTGTGTCCTGGGATCCACAGGCCAGAGAACACGTGTTGCCGAGCCTCGACAACGCCATGAAAGTGCGCCAGCTGCGAAAGAGCTTGCAACACTCTCACAACATTCCCCAAATCAAATGTTCCTTCGGGAAAGCGTTACTATTGTCGAAAGTCAGGTCTTAAAGAGTGGCTATGTGGCCACAACAAACATAGGTCATCAAGTGAGCTAATTCATAATGCATCATCTTTCACTCACTGTGTGAAATTACCACTTATTCTTGAAGCGTCAGTACACGGTATAGATGTGTAGTTTCTGGTTGACACCGAGACATCATCCTCTGTCATCCACATTGAGTTCATACAACAAAATCACAGGTACATGAGTCTCACCGGGGATATCAGCACTCTTTTTTCATTTCTTTCCTTTCTAGGTGGAACAAAAGGCCTCAAGCTTGAGGTGTAGAGTTCCAGTAACTCTGAGGTAACTATGCTTTCTACGACCTAGGCAAGGTTTTAGTAGTGCGTTGACGAAGCAACCAAGCTTAGCCACCTGTATGGTTGGCGAAATTTCTAACACTGAACCACTGATGCCCTTGAAGAGTCCCAGTTAGGACGAAACGCCAGGCACTATCGAACAACAAACTTCATATTTATGTCAGTATTTTAATACCATGTTTAATGAATATATATATAACTTTCTCATTTATTTTCACAACTGTCTTAACGTCATACTAGCGTTTCATGTAATATTGTACCGTTTTAAGTGTGGTTCATCTTGCAGAAGCAGCGAGTTACACATGAGACACATTAGCGAATATTATCACCGAGAATTGGTGTTCCAGATATATAAAACAGATATACATGAGGCGTTTAACCAAGGTGCAACTAAAACGTAATCACCAGTGATGACACACCTAAGACATTCTTATTTGCAAACATCTCATAAACCACCTTCTGACAAATACACTAATTGACTTTAAGTCCTAAAATGAAGGTTACAGAATGCATTTCTTCCTCGCTGACAATAAATAAATCTATTCCAGGTGAAATAAATTACTTCCTCTCGTCCAATAACACATGTTCTTCGCTGTACTGATTTATTCTAATCACATAAAAGAACTCAGATTAATTGACTATATGTACAAAATATTAAGTTATTCGATATTTCATTAATGAAATAAAAATCACATGCATTTTTCACATTTGTCCATATGTCCCTCACCTTATCGATGGAATTGTTCAATGGTTGGTCAAATTGTCCACTATATAAACTCATATCCACCTGGCATTACTTCAACTCCAATTTGGCCTCACACTACACAACTTACCTAATACTTCATTCATCAAATAAAATGTGAGTTCATTGAGTTAACGTTTTCTGCTTTTATTTCGGTTACCATGGTTTTCTGAATTGATTTGATTTGTTTTTTTGTTCTTCTCCTCTTTCTCCTTATCCAGGGATGAACTGAGAGCACTCTTCGAAGCAGCTGACGTCAACCATTCCGGAAAGTTGTCATCTCAAGAATTGAAAAAGGTGTTGGAAGGTGATTTTGGTTGTGAAATCCCCAAGGACAAGTTTGATGAATTTTTGAAAGGGACAAATCTTGATGGTGAAGGTGAATGGAGTATTGATGACCTGGTGAAACTGTTCACCTCATAGCATAAGTAACAGTGGCATTAATAAGAAGAAAAGAAACAATTATGATGATTGTATGAAGAATAAGTTGTTTCTGTGTTAACAATCTGTTTGACGTTTTCTGGTATTGTTAAGTTGAATTATACGTGTTAGAGATCTCATAATATGTCTTATTCTTCTTAAAAGTCAGTTGAGTCGACGATATTTTGTCAATACGTTCTTCGGTTAACTAATTTTCGGTTTCAAATATTTGGTATTTCCACATCTCTAGTGTTGACTAGTAATATTAATGTTAATCTTTTTGTAATGTAGGAAGTGGTTGCACTTGCTTTCAAGCTGGAATTTTTAATATTCAAGTATTGGTTTGTAGGAATTCGGTTGATTGGTTACAGGATTTCATCATGAGCTGACATTGGTTAGAGAACGATTGGAAAACCAGCTGGGAGTACTGGACAGCTGTTTCGTCCTAGTTTGGGACTCTTCAGCAGCACGCTTCCACCGGGGTTCGAACCCAGGACCTTCTGGTTACAAGACGAACTCGTATTTTCCTTTCCCTTCACGTTTAGAGCGGATCACATGGCTGTGATACTTCTTTATTTTCCGTGGTGGGATTGCTAGCCTCACATTAACTTATCTTTCCCTCTTTCATAGGTTGACTATCCACTAGAAAGCCAATGAGAGTATTAGGAGCACTTAGGTACTCGGAGTCGAACTCCAATCTTTCACCACCTGATTAGCGAGTATTCTGCTAGGGAACCACTGACGCAATTTAAATACCGTATTTTACATCATTTAAAGTAAGAATGTTCATTGGTGACATGAGTTTAAAGAAGCATAAAATACAACGGTGAGATATATGTTGCTAGGAAGCTACAGAAAAGGCTCTCTGAAGAGCGTTTCAGCAACTATCTGTGATAATCTCAGTCAAATTCATGAAAAGTAACTTTGTACCTTAGGTTATTTTGTCTGAGAGTGTTTGATAGACTGCATAACCCCACTGTCCGATGTAACATTAGAGATAACCTTCTTAGTCCTGTCGTCTAACAGGAATCTAAACCAAGCGATGTTTTTACCTGTTTGAATCAAAATTATAAATGCGTGTTAAGTATCCACACCATAGTAACCTCGGACTGTAATCTTTACTGAGACGAAATTTATAAAAGTGATTTTTCACAGTTCTCCAGTTTGCGTTGGAATTATTCCCTAAGTATTCTACGTCTACAAACAATACCTGTCTACCGGGTCTTTAGACATTTTTAGAATATCGTTTTCTAGCTTAGACACAAAGGTATATGCTGATAACTGTGCAAGCAAAGGGTATCATCCCTATAGAATAGACTTTCTTTTGTGGATTACCACTGAAATGGGGTAAAAGGTGAAGATTTACATTGTAATATGAGTTCCTATCGACCAATTAATGGTAGCCCAGTGTTGAGGTGATTTTATTTGACAAGTTAAGACAAATCTTGGACTTTCCGCTAAGTTCATTTTCACAGCTTTACAATCGCAAATATATATGGTTATTTTGTATGTGTGTGTACATTAAATTTGTCAAGCGAAAATACAATTAGTAAGTTTTTGGTGGAGTTAAGTAACACAAAAAGCGTTCAGAGGAATTAGATGTTGATATAAAAGGGTGGTAACAAAAGTAATAAGTTGTCAAAATCGATTTTTAAAGAAGAGTTACGTAATAACATGATGAAAGAGTTGTGCTCAGGGTGAACATGGAAACAAAGTAAAATACGGAATAATGTTAGAGTTCTAAGTAGTTGGAAAAAACAAACGAATAAGCGAAAGTTAAGTAAAATCAACAGAACTATTACCATGGTAATAGAAGTGGTTGAGTAATTCTCTTTTTTATATACAGCCCCGATTTTTCTATGTGAATGGCCACGGCTTCGGCAGTGCAAGGAAGACGTAAACGTATTGTCTTTGGCAGGTTGTTCTTCGCTTTGTAGATTACTTTGAAGGAGGCGTTTTTTGAGTTGGAATGACCGGTGGTGACGAGATGTGCCACTGGGATTCGATCCATTGGAAAATCCATGAATTCTAACTTCTGCAAATTCATGTTACAACGCGACCACTTCACAGTGTCAACTCATGATGAAATCCCCCAACCAATTAAACAAAAATCCCTATAAAAGCCAATACTTGAAAACTGATATGATGCCCACTAGCGAATGGCCTTATTCAAGTAGGCAGTTACCTGGGTTTCTAGCGGGAAGCAGTGACCAGTAGGATACATCAGGTTGAAGATGAGGCAGAAACTCATCAAAGAAGACATTGCAAAATGGTTGCGCTAGAAGTTAGAAATTATGAACATGCCATTGGATCAGGTCCCAGTGGCTTAATGATCTACTAGCTAGCTCGCTTTGTAACCAGAAGGTCCTGGGTTGGAACCTCGCAGTTTGGATGCGTAGTGCTGATTAGTCTTGGACCAGTAGGACGAAACAGGTTTCCAGTAATCCCAGCTAGTTTTCTAATGATTCTTTAATCAATGTCATCTCATGATGGAGCCCTGTTATATCATTTTATTTTGTCGGTGTCTCAACAACCAAATACAACTTAAAATGATTTCAAATTAGATACACATGTACAAAGAAATTTTTAACATACTTTCAAAAGTGACAAGGCATCAGTTAACTGGAGATTCAAAGAAAAATAATAATTGCTCAGAAGGTACACTTATACAACTAATGTACAGAAGGTTCCCATTAATTTTAAAATGTGAAGACGCTTTGAAGAAGGAGTTGAGTAATATAGAGGAGAGGTGGATCATAATTAGTGATAAGTAACTAATAGGTAGCGTAATAATATGGTGAGTTCAATTCAGATAACAGATACAGTAACAAGTAACAAATTATAATATACCATAAATGGAAGTCGCAGATTACTTAATCAAATCCAAGTCAAGAAATCTAGTTGCCAGTGTAAAGAAAGGCTGATAACATCTTGAGTTTGACCATGGACTGATATCAGTTATAGAACCATTGAAAACCAGCTGTCCGGTACTCTCTGATTTTCAATGGTTCCATAATTGATATTAATTCGAGGTCAAACTCACAAAAAACAAATCTAATCTCTACAAACCAATTCTTGAAAACTTCTTTACGAACACATAAATCGGCTTTTGGACCTTTGGTAGTTACTGCTTTATAAAACTTGGGCATAACTTGTACCATCGAGATGCATGGCAGTAGCGTTGAAGAAACTGTTTATTCCCTTCAAATGTAGGCGTTTATGTACATATCCAATGATATTAAGGTGTGCCACTTTTTATGTTATCCGAATGAGAATGTCACCACAAATACATGTGTGGACATTTAGAGCTAACCTGTCGGCTTTCGACTGCACTAAAGAGCATATTGTTTTTCAATAAACGAGAACAACTTTGACTGCAAGTGAAGTGCTGCCTGATGAAGTATTCAGTCTTCTACTGATCATACCAGGAACATAAATGTTGAGATTGATAAAGACAGGATTCTTACACACTTTAAATTGCCTGTCATTTATTTATTTTTTATTATAGCTTGAGTCCACACAGTACTTCGGTACACATATGGAATTTTCAGCATGTGAAATCGGCAGCCCAAATTTAGTAGGCCGACCATTGATAACAGGTGTGCATCAACCCAAGGTGGAACCCTGGACCATGTGGATGGTAGGCGAGTGTTCTGACCTCTGGACTCTTCAAAACTCTATAATTCTACTTCCAATGTTCCAATGGAGGATATTCTTCTGAAAATTGACTTGTGCCCTTTGTGTACGTGAGTTATATAACTTTCATTCCGTACTTTCCAAAGAACATCGAAAGCATCTGAAAGAACTGAAGGATTATGAAAACTTGATCATGACACGGCCAGATGAAGGCTCCAAGATCGTCTTGATGAACAAATTGGACTACCTAAGCAAACTCTCGGTGATACTATCTGATGATAAAAAGTCTCAAAAACAGTCTCCATAGAAAGATCCCACCGAACAGACAGAGTTCTAGCTAACAAAGATATTGAAGGAAATGAAAGACGAATCCATTTTCAGTTCAAAACTATACGAACAACTGAGTCCTTCTGGTTCTACAACGCCGCACATGTACGGCTTACCTAAAGTGCATAAACAAGACGTCCCACTCCGACCAATACTAGATATGATAGATTTCTCATATCACTCAGTCGCGAAATGGTTGGTGGAGATTCTCGGGCCGGTGAAAGAAAAGCTGCCAAGAACAAACCTCCGTGATATACTCGACTTTGTTGATTCAATTAAGAATGTCAACGTGGTAGATAAGAAAATTGTCTCCTTGGATATCATCTTTCTCTTCACCAACGTTCCATTGACAGAAACTGTATGTTTCCTTTGTGATTACATTCAGTCCGTTAGCATAGATGTCGGTATACCGATCCATAGCCTAAAAGAACTTTTACTACTATGCAACTTCACCTTATACTTTAGTTTCAACAATAAGATTTGGAGGCAAGTAGGTGGAGTAGCATTGGGTTCTCTCCTAGGATCCCTCCTAGTCGACTGCTTTATGGCTTGCGTAGAAAACAACTCCTTATCATCAACTATTGGCGACTACCATCTCTACAAGAAATACATCAATGATACTTGAATTATTTGTGATGAGAATTGTGATCTAAAAAACCTACTTCAAATCTTCAATAACGCCCACCTAAACATCGACTTCACCTTGGGAGTTGAGTCTAACTCAATGTTTCGTTTCATCGACGTTTAACTATGAAAGAATGCAGACAACTCGATAAGAAGATTCATCTGCTAAAAGCCCACTTGGAACGGATAGTTTATTAACTTTCAAAGTTGTGTAGCTCTAAGCAGAGAGAGAAACCTAATATACTCCCTTTCCTCGAGAATCCTGAAGATTTGCACTGAAGAGTCAATCGATGAAGAATTACAAAATCTCCGTGGGACCCTGACAGAAAATGGATTCCCACCCAGATTCATAGACAAGAATCTAAAACCAAGAAAAACACCTGGAAAGGTCCAAGTCGCCCTCAGAAGGATGCTGATATTGAACCTCGAATTTAAAAGTTATATAAGTGTAACTTCTAATCACTTTTTATTATATTTCTTACCTTCCCTATTAACTGACATCACATAATCTTTGCAGTTAAGTTGAAAAATCGCTCTGTACACACATACTGAA